CTTGCACATAGTGAGCCTAGTTTGGTGTGTCCAGCTGATGTCTTGCCTGGATACAGACAGGGGCTTTGGTAAATTTGCCAGTGATTTTACTCAGTGAGAGTCATGAATTCACTTTCGCTTTCAGGCAGGATGCCCTGCATTACACTGACTTATGGACAAGGCATTGACCGTTAGTCAAACGGTGAACAAATGTTATGGTTTCTTTAGAAGCATTAACAACACCGCTACTGTAAGTGCCATAGTCTGGGGGTTTTATTTCTTTGGATTTACTGGGCTGGAATTACAACTCTGTGACTTCGTTTCTACACTATTTTTAAATGCTGAAAACATAGCTCTGTAAACCACGTGGTCCCATCCAGCTAGGATCTTGCAAAGAAATATAGGGACTATATCAAGGCTTTTGGCAGTTGCTGCTTTGCTGGTTAAAAAAAAAAAAAAAAAAAAAAAAAAAAAAAAAAAAAAAAAAAAAAGGCACTAGCAGCGAGGAAAGGGGGAAAAAAAAAAAAAAAAGAAAGAAAAAAAAGTTCCAAATAGGATTTAGCATAAGCTTGAGGAGATTTGGAAAGGTTTCAAAGATCAGGCTGTATCAAAGGCTTATGAAGCCCTCGTTAGCTGTAGAAATATAATAGCATGGCAGGCTATCCCATTCGAGGAACCAATGTCTGTATTATTTCACTATGACAGGCTAAAGGGAGAGAAAGTTGAACAGTTTCCACAGAGGAGTTGGACTAAGTTGAATATAATGAGCAAACGCCACATGTATCCATTATGTCCCTCTATTCATTCCCAATCACTGCCATAACTCTTTGACTAAACGATGATGAGCGCTGAATTACACACAATGCCCTGCTCATATTAAAATACATTTAAGACCTATCCCTCCTGGTGCCCTGTTACGCCTATTCACAGGATTTTCTTTTTGTCCTAATCATTATGTCCCTCTATTCATTCCCAATCACTGCCATAACTCTTTGACTAAACGATGATGAGCGCTGAATTACACACAATGCCCTGCTCATATTAAAATACATTTAAGACCTATCCCTCCTGGTGCCCTGTTACGCCTATTCACAGGATTTTCTTTTTGTCCTAATAGGGCCTCTCTGGGAAGCAACACCAGTCTCGTTCCAGAAGAACAAAATAACAGCATGAGGCTGAAACCTGGCACGAACTGGGGGGAACGAAACCATCTGCCCCGCAAGGCACCAAGGCCCCGCGCGGAGCCCGGCGCAGCCTCCCGGCCCTGCGGTGCCTGGGCAGCCATGGGGAGGGCGGCCACAGGCCCCCGCCCGCCGGGAAGAGACCCAATGGGGAGGGAAGCC